CTTTGCACGTACTGAAGTTCAGGTGCAGCTCTACAAAGTTTGGACTTATCCAGCTGCGTCTGGCTTGGGTCTGGCTGCTGTGCTCAGCTCCTTCCCACTGCTGCCCTTAAGGGTGAACCTGTTATGCCCCTGTGGTGAGATGTTCTGCTCCTGGACTAGCTGGTTGGATCTATCCTCTACACTCTCTGCAGGGATTGCAGTTGCAGCATTACACCTCAGGCGTGTATGCCAGGCCTGAGCTGTGCCTGGAAGGGGCAAGGTGAAGTAGCGGGAAGAGGAAGCTCTCCCACACACTCACGGGTCCTGGGCTAGGACTGGGTCTGGGGGCTCCGGGACGGGCAAAAATTCCTACTCGGCGGGCGGGGTGGGGGAGGCACTGTGGAGTGGTGGGGGGCGGCCCAAGGGGCTGGGAGAGGGTCTGGCCCATGCTGCGCCTGGGCTGGGACTGGTCCCACAGGTGCAGGGTAGCAGGAAGCTCTCCGCTCACTCACCGGACCTGGGCTAGGACTGGGTCTGGGGGCTCCTGGAAGTCGACAGAAAATCCTACTCGGCGGGCGAGGTGGGGGAGGCACTGCGGAGCGGTGGGGGGCGGCCCAAGGGGCTGGGAGAGGGTCCGGCCCACGCTGCGCCGGGGCTGGGACTGGTCCTGCCGGCGCAGGGTAGCAGGAAGCTCTCCGTACACTCACCGGACCTGGGCTAAGACTCAGTCTTTTTTTCTTTATGACGTATTCTGAGTAACATTTTTGCCATTCTTTAAAAAGTAAGATAAAATGCTCCCACTAAAGATAAGTAAATTGTGTTCACTCACGATCGTAGAATCCTTTTTCACTGCATCATTTATCATCCAGTAGCCAGCAGTTGCAACCAAGCCACCTGCTCTTGAAGGTGTGGTTGGATAAACAAAATGTGTTAGATGCATAAGAGATATTATTCAGCTTTCAAAAGGAGTAAATGGTCCGATTCTTAGAGACAGAAGGTAGAAGAGCAGTGGCCAGGGTCTGGGGTAGATTTCTCAAGGGCTTTTATATCTTTTACATTTTATCAGAGCACACCTTATTAGTATATGTTTGAGATATGTAATAATTACATTCTAATTATGAAAAATTAGCATTCTATATGTGAATAAGTACATTCTGTCTGAATTATTTTATTATAAAAAATACAGGATCTTCAACAGATAGTGATTAATTCTATTATAAAAGGAAAATAACATACGCATTTCCAAGGCCTGAGGATGAGGTAGTGGGAACGACTGGGATCAGAGCCCATCCTGGCCTGGCTGGTGCTGGAAAGAGCTACCTGCAATAGTCCGAGAGTGGGCAGGGCCATGTCTTCCTCTCCCGATGGGTCAGGCGGGTGGTGGCACTCAGCACCTACTGCTTCTGACCTGAGCAGCAGCCCAGGAAAGGCCCTCACTCATCACTGATGGGAGGGCTGCAGCGCAGAGAGGCTGGCTGGTTTGAGGTCTCTAGCATGGCTAGCAAAGGCTAGAGTCAAAGCATGAGCCAGGTTGTGTCTGACTGGACAGCCCTGGTTTTCCTGGTTTCCCTCAGTGTATGAGGAGCCCACTGTTCTTACCAAGGGAACAAGCACCCAGATCGTGGAGGAGCCCCGTGCCTGGCAAAGGCAACACCACGATTGTTAAATTCCAAGCTGCAAAATCAAAAGGGGCAATCACTTTTTTCTTTTCTCCAGGGTCCAGCGAGATGACTGGCAACTGGGGGCTGCTGGACCAGGTGGCAGCTCTGACCTGGGTGCAGACCCACGTTGGAGCATTTGGTGGGGACCCTGGACGTGTTTCGCTGGCAGCAGATCGCGGCGGTGCAGATGTGGCCAGCATGCACCTTCTTATGGCCAGGGCCCCTGGCCCCCAGCTCTTCCAGAGGGCCCTGCTGATGGTGAGTAGGTGTCCTGCCGTCATTCTGGTCTCTGGCACTCTCCCTGCCTTTGGACACCAGTTCGCTTATCCCTGTGGCAAGTGTGGCGTCTACTGTGAGGGTTTTTCCAGGTACTTGTGGTAGCAGGGCCCTGAAGGGCACCTCTGCTCTGTACTCACGTTCAAAATTCTAGAAACGCTGGATGGCAAAGTGTGCCTGTCTCCTAGGAGAGCCCACTAAAGTTTGGCGTTCATGTCAGTGAGTGGGAGCCAAGAGAAGAACTCGTATGAGTCCGGATTCTACCCAATGGCTAGAAGGGCCTGCTGGGTGATGAAGGGGTGATGGAGGTGGTGGAGCTGGTAGTGGTGATGCCACAGGGTTGATGACGCCAGCAATTGTGATCAAGGAAGTAGCTTGGTTGGCTGAGCGCAAGCCCTAAAGTCTCGCCTTCTGTCCTTGGCTAGCCTTGCATTTCACTGAGCTTCGGATGTGTCAGGGATACTTACTGGATGCTGGAACTTCCATAGTAAATAAAGCATTCCCCATTCACAGGAGGCTTGCTTACTTGAGCAGGAACACAAACACTAAAGCAAAAGCTGTTTGAAAGAGCTTCCGAGGGCAGCTCCGAGAGAAGCTGTCAGGGGAAGGAGGAAGTGCTAGGGAAGGCGCCCTGGTAAGGACCTCCTGAGCTCAGTGCTGCAGGCTTTGTGGGCCTCGGCTGTAGGCAGAGTGTGGGCAGCAGGGACAGGGAGGGAGGCTGAGGCTTGGTGGGCAGTGGTGTGGCAGAGAGGCGCTCCAGTAGCTTGGGTTTCATCCGACGCATGATAAATCATCAAAAGGTTTTGCTTGCTTGTTTCGTTTTAGGCCATTCTTAAAAAAAATGATATAAAATGCTCCCACTAAAGATAAGCAAATTGTGTCCATTCATGGTTGTAGGGTCATTATTCACTTGTCGTTTATCACCCAGTAACCAGTAGTTGGAAGCAAGCCGCCTGTCTCTCAGTGTGTGACTGGGTCCCTGGAGCAGACGTACCAATACTCGTTTGTGAGCATCTTCTGCATGGTAGCATGTGATTCCACCGGATCTGCCTATCACCACCACCCATCTCCAGAGCACTGGTCATTGTCCCATTTTCCTTAGTAGAAACTCTAGCTATTAAACATCACCTCTCGTTCTCCTTTGCCCCTTAGCCCCTGGAAAGGTCAGTACTACTTTCTGTCTCTCTGAATGTGGCTATTCTAGGTACTTCGTGTTTGTGGAATTGTAAAAGACTTGCACCTTTGCGTTGAGACCATTTCCCTTAGCACAATATCCTCAAGGTTCTTATGGAAGGCAGCGCGCTCCAGAATCCCCTTGTATTTGAATGCTGAGGTCTGCTCGGCTGTGAGGAGACCCTGCTGGTTTATCCCTTAGGCATGTGCAGATGGACCCCTGGGTCACCCCGCCCCTACTACTCTGCATAGTGCTGCTGTGAACTCGGCTGTGTCAGCGAAGGCTTTGGCAGCAGTGAGAAAGTTGCTTAGCTGCTCTTTAGAAAGACGTCCCTGAGAGCTGGGTGGAGAATGATTTTCAGAGGGACACAGGTGGAGTCAAAGAAAGCCAAGGAGTGACTGCAGTATTCCAGGATAAGGAGACATAGGGAGCCCTAGAGACCAGCTCTGTGGGCATCAGTGACCTGCTAGCAACTCAGGTTATGCCACCACACCACAGCCTGCCTGGCTTCCCTGGGATCCAGACCCTTGATTAGGAGGGGAGGAGGGAAGGCAATGAGTCACTGTCGAGCAATAACTGATGCTAGACTGGCTTTGTTGCTGCTCCCAACAGAAAGCTGAGCTGTCCGCCACTCTGCGTCCTTCAGCTCCAGAAGCCCTGGACTCACTCTGTGCTCTCCCTCATCCAGGCAGTTTCCTTGGCAAACCTTTCTCCTGTCTTTCTCTTTGCCTGCCTACCTGCCATTTAGGAAAGCCTTCTAGATTTTTCAACCTGAAGCTGGACTTGCGCTGCCCAAGCCTCTCCTGTTTGGCAGTCACCACAGTGCCCATCAATAACTAACTGCTCTTAGTGTCAAGTTGGCCTCCCTCAAAGGACCAGTCCCAGACAGCAGGGACCAGTGTGCCTTGCTCTCCACGGGGCCCCAGGCACCCACCCGGCCTGCCTTCCAGGAAGCAGGGGAGGCTCCCCAGTGAGCAGGCTGAGCAAGCGAGCAGACAGTGGGCAGCGGTCCCAGCGGTGTTCTAGAGACTCAGGGACCCTCAGGCGCAAGCAGACCCTCCTTGTAAGTCACACCTTTCTTGTCCTTTGATTCACTTCTTCTGGCTTCAAGCTGGTCCGTGCGAATAGCAGGAGATCTGAGCACAAACATCTCTTAGTGCCTGGTATTTCAAGCCCAACTTCCTGCCCGAAGTTGATCCTGGAAGATTTCCTCCCTGTCTGATCACCAGTCAGCTGCTCACTAGGACCTAGAAGATGCCTACGAACCCTCCAGGGGGCTTGGAAGGCAGATTTTCTTTTTGAGGATTTAGGCGTCTGGGGTATTTCAGAAACGAATCTGTTTTAACAAATGGCAGTGTATTTAAAAATAAACCCTCCGTCTGTTTTACTGACTTGGATGCAGATTTTACAACTGCTCCCAGAAGCCCTTGGGGTACATGTGAAATTATTTGGAATTGAGAGAACTAAAATGCTTCAATGTATTAGCAGTGCTTAAATATATTCTTTCCAGACAGATGTTTGGGAAGTGAATGCAAGTTGGTAATTTTTTGTTGAGAAAAGCTTCAGTGTCTGGAAGTCCTGGGGTTAGAACTGGTCAAGCATCAGTGAAGCGCAATACCTCTGGAGATAGTCAACAGCCTCGCTCATTTAACACATTCGGGGCCACGAAGCACTGTCAGTGTCTTAGAGCACTCGTAGTGACTGGCAGGGCGTCTTCAATCTAGTGACAAGATTGTTGAGGCTCAGAGAGGTTAAGTGAGCTTTCAGAGAACAAAGAATAACAACCCCAAGGCTAAATCCTGTTTATTTCCCGTTCTCTGAATCATCTTCAGAGAATTTAGGAATTTGAGCTTCTCCCCAGGTCTTACCTTGAAGAAGAATGAATGTGAAGTTAGGACCAGCGAGCCCTGCCTGAGGATCCTAGCCTCTGACCAAATCCTTCTTCCCTCTGCATTCTGCGCCCTAACATCAGAACGATTAATTCTGTCTCCTGAGGTTTGGTGAAGCTGTGGTGGCTTCAGGTTTGTGCAGCAGCCTGCACATTCTAGGAGCTCAAGCAACCCACATCCTTCCTGCTTTTGCCAGGAAACAAGTCCTGGACTATTTCACCGCCCTGGGGCCAGGTGGCGGGAAAAGGCAAGGTGACTAGCTGGCAACACATAATCTAGGATTTGGGGTGGTGAGCCCCTGACCAGTCTCAAGGGAAGACAGAGGAGGGCATATACACTGTAGTGTGATTCCTGGGGTACAATCAGGGACCACACTGTCCCTACAACATGACCTCAATCCACACTCCCCCTGGTGACCTCGTCACCTTAGCAGGCCTCAAGTGAACTTTCCTGCCACTGCTCCTACGGGCAGCTTCCGGGGACCCCCAGTGAGACCCTGGCTACCACCAGGCCTAGGAAATGCCATCCCTTCTCCAGTTCTAAGGTCACTCCATCTTTCAGGACTCAACTAAAACTAGGCCTCCAGGGCTTTCCCTGGCTCTCAACACAACAGGAATCCCGCCTCAAAGAGAAGACTTCTGTGTAGAAGCTTTTAGGACTTTGGCCTAAAAGCATTTGTTATTTTTCTAACATAGCTGATTCCAGTTCTGCCATGGCTGAGTGTCTGACCCTTACGTGAGTCTAATTATGTTAGCCCTTCTTCCTCAGGACAGAAGAGCTGCCAGGCTGAGCTCCGTCCAGTGCTGGGGAGAGGGTGGGAGAGAAGGTGCCCCATGCTGACGCACTGTGGCTGCATTGGCTGCGAGGCGCCCAGCGCTAGCATCTCCTTTGGGCTGGGTTTATTCAAAGTCAGCCTAGCTGGCTGTGGGCTTTGATGCTCCCAAATGCCTTTTACAATAGGGTTATTGAGGTCTATTTTGTTTTAATATTCCTTGTGGGAATTTTGAGCATTGTTTTGTGGAATTTATTACTTTTAGAGGACAAAAAAATGTATGCTTTTCTGACATGCAGTTTTGCCTCCATGAAAGAGGTTAACAGCAAAACCATGAGCATAACATGACTTCCAGGGAGGTTTGTTCATGGGGTGTGGGATGTTTTCCCAGGAAAGTTTTATGTCCTGGTTGTGACTCAGGACCCCCCATGTGCTGTGGTTTAGTGACATTGTGCAATGTGTGATTTTCTGCCAAGTATTCTGGTTTGTAAATACTGGTGCTTGGGAGTAAGTTCACCTGGGAGCTCATTGAGCCAGTTCTGAGGATGCTCCCACTGCTGTGCCAATTGTTTCCCTGAGTTCTCTGTGAACTTAGCTCATTGCTTGTACATGCTGGCAGGCTTATTTCTGTACCCACTGGAGCAAGACGCCCAGCTGCTGCAACCAGGGGAGCCAACACCAAGCAGCTTCAACAGTGGAAAGCTTCTTTCTTCCTTCCACTCTCGTTCTCATAGCGCTTCCCGAAGGGAGCAGTCCAGGTGCCCCCTTATCAGCCAGGGCCCTAGTTTCTCCGAGGCCTTAACTGGACACCACTTAGGCCATTGGCCTCATCTACAGAGCTGAGCCTGGGCTGCAGGGAAGAGTTAGTCAGGGAAGAAGGCCACGCCTCCTGTCTGAGAGCCGGCACAGAGGGCTCGCACCTCCTGCAGCCCTCTGTGCACGCAGAGCTCTCCTCTGTTCACCTTTGCTCTCCTCTCTGCTGTCACCATACTGCTACTGCCTCTACCTATCACAGTAGTCTTACTACTTAGGCAATATTTGATTTTTCAGATCTTCTCAATGATATGTATTAAAAACTCTAAACTATTACCACCATCATGTTTCTCCTGTCTCCCCACTTATATGATGTTCTTAATTCTTAAATTAGAAGCTGACCTTTGGCCGGCCAGATAGCTCAGTGGATTAAAGTGCCTGCTTAGGCAGACACAGGGACCAGGGTTCCATCCCTGGCGTGCCGAGATGGCCCCACTCCCGGGGTGCACGGAGGTGGCACCTGAGAATGGGCATGGTGGCACACGTCTGTAATCCCAGCACTTGGGAAGCTGAAAACAAGATGACCACTAAGTCCAGTCTATGCAGTGAGATCCTGTAGACCCCGCACTAAATACACTGAGAAGAAGAAGAAGCTGACCCTGTTAAAGGGTCTCGTGCTTTCTGATTAACACGCTGCATTTCAGGCAATAAAATTCTAGTTCATCAGCTTCAAAACTTTTGAAAGTAAAGATATCTCATGTGCTTCTAAGTATTTTATTATTCCTCTGTTGTTTTCTTAACTGGAAGAATTTTGTCAAGCAATCTAGATTCATTGAATTTTTATCCACTGTCTCTCAAAGTTTCCCACTTTGCCGCCTTTGGTTACAGGGCGTGAGTGGGAGGCTGCTCCCTTGACATTATCGTGGCTTCCTCTGCAACCTCGTGGGGTCTCATTTACTGGCAGAAAAACTAGGCAATGTTGCCCCAGTTTACGAGCCTCTCTGTTCGCTTGTCTCTCCTTGCCTAGCACTTCCTGGGAGTTGCGGATTCGGATGTCCACAGGAAGTTAGCCATTTACCCATTTATTCCTATAATAGTTCCACCACATACTCTGAACTGTCTGGTTTCTTTAACGCAGGCCTCAAGCAACCTGCCTTCTCAACCGATTGCTCAATGTAGCATTTTCCGTTGTCCTTCGAGAATTCATTTTCACCTTAAATTACATCTTGCCTCAGTATGCAGTGCAAGCTTCCCTTTGGTTTGTTGTGTCCAAGAAAATTTTTCCACACCTTCATTTTTAAACTCCCCATGTATCCTTTCATGTTTGATGTATGGCATGTAGGTAATGCAGTGCCTGAATGTGTGTGTGTGTGTGTGTGTGTGTGTGTGTGTGTGGTACTAGGGATTGAACTCAGGACCTTGTGCTTACCAGGCAGCCGTTTGTGCTGCTGAGCTATATCCCCGCCCCCTACAGTGCCTGAATTTTAAAAATGCATCCTCTACCCAGTACCAAGTGCCCTTTCCAACTCCCGAATGAGGTGTTACCACCCATCTCAGATCTTCTCATGACTTCCTGTGTTTCCTACATAGTTCCTGCGCCTGCTCCCCTCCAGGGTGCTGTGTGTCCCACCTGGCCTCCCTCCTGAGGGCATCCTGTCATCCTAGAAGTTCATGCCATCCTGTCCTGTCTAGCCCTCAGCACCTGCAGGAATTGGCCTATGTCCCCCCGTCACTGCTGCCCTCCTAGATCTCCTCAGACTGCATGCTGTTCCTTCTTCAGGCCTTTCCCAAACATCTATCCAGAGACCCCCACCTGTCTGGTGCCACAGGACACCTGCTCATTTCTACACTTGTCACTCCCAAGGCTTGCAAAGTATCCCATTTATATGTGGCATCAAGCTCCACAATCTCAGAGGCCCCACCTGATTTCTAGTGCTCTAGCCTAGTACCTAGAGCACCTGTAGCCTAAATGTATCTAAGAAACTCTGTTAGAAGAAATTCTTACATGTACAGGCAGCTCATGCCTGCAGTGTGCAGCAGGTATCACAAGAAATGTGCAGCTGTAGCGTTTCCGTAATGAAGGCTGAGAGTTTGGTCTCTTGGACCCCCACTCTGCTTCTAGGTTGTAATGCACAAGACACACTTGCTTGGGACTCAGTGGACCATGCCAGGGGAAGCACAAGCCACCAACTGTGTGGTTTGTCTTGTCAGCTTTACTGGTGTCCCCTCCTTTGCTTACTCCCTTGAAAATCCCAAACCTACAAGGCTTCAGGAAGAATTTTCCACCTGCCTCAATCGAGAGGCTCCCCCCTTCCAAGGGTTAAATATTTATTAGGTTTACATTAATCAGGAATAAATACATGATTGAGCTAAGAAGTATAATGCTTCCCACTTACTTACACCCCCACCCCCAGCACTCTTTAAAGGTTCGAGTCCCAGTGGTCACACAGAGAGCAGCGGGGAAGGTGCTGGCCATCTCGGAGCCCAGTGGGAAGCCACTGTCTCCTGCTGTGGTCCTTCCTCACACTCTGGCTGGTCCTTCTGAAACAGTCTAAGGCTTACTGAGGAATCTAATGTGGCTCTTGTGTAAACAGCCTGGAGTCTGATGGTACAGGAAACCACGTGGATATATATGGACGTACCGTAGCTGTGTGAGCTCAGGGCCAGGGAATGCGTGTGGTGGGCAGATGTGACATCACACTTGCCTGCGCCTCTGCACCCCAGAGCCCCTCTGAAGCAGGGAAGAATGAGTCATGGTCTGTCTGGAACCACTCCCTTCCCAGCGTGGACCCATGCCTGTCCTGTGTTTCCCCCTGAGCTCTTACAACTACACAGACACAGCAAATTCAGCCCTGAAGGCTTCCCCCTCTTTCCTGGAATGCAGCATTTTTATTCACATGTGTGTCAGCCTCTTCCTAAAATAAAGTATGGGCTGAATTAAGTCTTTAGGACTAATTTGCTTCCCCAGTTTCATCACTCTTGCCTATTTGATCCTATACTCCTTACAGACCCAGGTCGCCTCTCCTGCCTCCCACTCCTCCTTATGCTGTGGGGGATTTCACTCTTCAAGCTCACTTTTGTAGCATCTATTTGTATATTTTCTCCCTGTCTCCATTCTGTAATCTCTGTTGAGGGCTGGGTTTTGTTTTCATTTCTTTTTCTTTTCTGGTCTTATTCTTACAAAGCATCACAAAGCATCTCTCTAAAAGATGAAAAAGGAATCAGGTAACAGGTGCCTTCAGATAGCCGAGCCCGCCAGCAGCCGAGGTGCACTTCCTGCACTGTGGCCATGACTAGGGCCACGCTGGAAGCTGTACACCCCCAGCCCCCTACCTCTTCCCAGCTAGCAGCATCCCTCCCTCTCTCCTGAGGCCCAGCCCTGGTAGGAGCCAGGGAGGCTGGCAGCTGCTGCCCCATGGCACTGGCACATGAGAGTATCAAAGGTCCCTCCTGTGCACAGCTACTAAGACCTTTGAGCTAGTGTGTAGTGTTTGGGGGTCCCTTGAAAAGAGGGGCGGTGCACTGTGTCCCAAAGGTCTTCACAGGCCAGTGCAAGAAGCTCTGTGCATGCAGGATCTGCCCATGCTGATCCTGTTCTTCCGGGCCTCTGGCTCTGGTGGGTCTTGAGACCAGCATTATCCAGAGAAAAATCCTCCCCGAGGACTTGGGCAGGGTATCTAGACGAAGGGGCAGAGAAGTGCCTTCCTTCAGGCATGTCCTTGGCCCTGCACACACAGTGCATCCACGCTCACACGCTGGGCTCTGAGGTGGTGGCCTGCGGTGTCACCTTTTAGCCTGTCCAGATGTTGCAGTACCGATATGATGCCAAGCAGGCTTCTTTAGCTATGATGTGGCTGGAGAAGATGTGAGCTGAATCTCCACATAGCTTCTCGTAGCTTCTGGAAGGCATGAGTGCCCAGGGGTCAGAGAACCCTGCTTTTTGCAGGATCTTAGGGGACAGCTGGAATCTCTGTCCTGTGACCTCGGCTAATCCTCAAAATATTGCGGTGCTGAGAAGAGCGAGCTCTTGCGCTTGCTCCCACTGTACATCAGGGACATGCTCTTCTTCTTCCGGTCCAAGGGGCTGGCATCATCCCCGGTCAGGGACAGGTAGGATGCAATGCTTTCCCGAAGGCCATAGCTGAAAAGGGACTCATCCACTCCAAGTGGGTTCCCTGCTCCCTGGGGGGTCTCCCGGAGTCTGTGAGTCAGAAGAGCAAGAGGCAAAGTCAGGGAAAAAGAAAAATACAGATGGGTGGGATGGGGGAAGAAATGAGGAAAGGGAAAAGAGGGAGCAGGAGAAGGAGGAGGAGGAGAAGGAGGAGGATGAGGAGGAGGAAGGAAAGGAGGAGGAGATGCAGGAAAAGGAGGAAGAGGAAAAGGAGGAGAAGCAGGAGGAGGAGGAAGAAGAAAAGGAGAAGAGAAGGAGGCGAAGGAGGAAGAAGAGAAAGAGGAGGAGGAAGGAAAGGAGGAGGAGAAGCAGGAGGAAGAGGAAGAAGAAAAGGAGGATGAGGAGAAGGAGGAAAATGAGGATGAGGAGAAGGAGGAGGAGGTTGAGGAGAAGGAGGAGGAGAAGAAGGAAGGAAAGGAGGAGGAAAAGGAGGAGACAAGGAGAAGGAGAAGGAGAAGAAGGAGGAGGAGGAGAAGGAGGAAGACGGGGAGGAAGAGGAGAAGGAGAAGGTGGAGGAGGAAGAGGGGGAGGAAGAGGAGGAGGAAGAGGGGGAGGAGGAGAAAAAACAACCAAATATCCTGGTTAATCTTCCTCTAGATTGTTGTTCTAATTCCGGGTCTTTATATCTGTGGGCTGCATGATCTTAGACAAATCACTTAATCTTTTTTTCTCAGATGGCTAAAACTTCTAACTATAAATCTTAATGAATATTTCCTTATGATATTTACAAGAGAGAACAATTTTATTCATCTTGCAGGCAATTCTAATATCTGATTTTCCTAGAACTTTCCAATGGGATGTCTGGATCCCTGTTCAATTAATAAGAAAATTAACCTATCACTTACTATAGGTGTATTCCTGAGAGTCTAACAGCTGACAGTGAAATAAACAGAACAAAGCAGGACTAAGCAGGGCCTACCTTCCCAGGCCCTGGCCTCCCTGTGGCAGGCTGCTCCTGCCTGCATGTCCTAGGAAGACACACACACTCACCTAGATGCCCTCTTCCAATCGAATGTCTTCTGGCGCAAGGTGACAGGCGAGCTGGGCGCCCTTGCCACAGGGGAGGCCGTGCTCTGGGCCAGGCAGGGTGTGGTCAGCACACAGCACAGGCCATCAGCCACCTCTTTTGGGAGAAAAGCAAACAGCGATCAGTGACCTGACAGTGCCTTCTGCAGTGTGGACCGCTGGCCTGAGGCCTGACAGGGTAGCTCCCTGGTTGTGGGTATGGGGAAAGGACACTTTCTGGTTATCTGCAGAGAGAGGCCAATGCCAAGAGCATCTCTCTGAACGCCACTGGCTCTGCACTGGGGTCAGATCCTCACAGTGCCCTGCAGCCCACAAGGGTATCTGTGGCCTTACAGTCTCCTGGCCCCAGCTTGTAGCGGTCTGCTGGCTGACTGCAGTGTGTGTTTCCTGTTGTCTATGCAAAACTTCTGGGCTACATACTCTTCAATGATTGTTATTAAGAGCCAAGTACCACAAACAACCCTTTCTTAGACCCAGCACAAGGCGCTGCTTCCAGGATTCCCTTCCTCTTTCATTTTTAGTTAGCAGTTAGGTTTTCAGGTATCACAGAAGTTGTATTTGTTACTGTTCATCGCATATCTGTCACGTGCTAGGCTCTCTGGACGTGGGGTAGGAGTGATGTTTTCCTCTCATGCAGCGCACTGCTCAGGGGCTGGGGCTTCTGAGAGGGGAGGACGCACCCAAGTTCTCACAGTCTAAATCCCAGCCTGGACTACTACTCCTTCTGCCATGCCCCTTTGTCACCCGCTGCTTCTCAAGGGTCAGGGTGTCACAGCAGGCTGTGTGGGCTCCTTTGTCATTGAAAAGCCCTTTGTATCTCCAATGCAAGACCCCTAAAGAATCCCAGCCAGGTGCCATGGGTGCGAGGCCAGGCATCCCGGACTGACCTGATGGGAGAAGCTGCTGAGAGGACGAGAGCAGCTGCTTCACCTCACCAGGGGGACCAGGCAGCCTGGGGGATGGGGCCTCGCTGCCCAGCGGGCAGGGACAGGCAGCGCTTGAGGTCAGGAAGCAGGACCTTGAGGGTGGGAAGCACCAGGAAGCTCTCCAGGTTGGGCCAGCCCTCTGCTTGTCATCTCCCTGACCATCCCTGGCAGGTGGGGAGCAACTGCACCAAAGAAAGTGAGGCTCAGAAGGGCAAATGTCCAGCCCAGAGTGGCCCAGCCCCCCTGAGCAGGGGGTAGGCCCAGAGGTGCCAGAGCCAGGGCGTAGAAGTGCAGTTGGCAACTTCCAGTTGCTCCCTTGTCCATGGGGCAGAATTTCAACGCTTAGGGCTCCCACAGTGTCTCTCCTCCATTACTCCAGGAAACTCTACATCTGCCAGCATGGAGGACGTGCCCTCCTGGGCAGCTGGGGAGGCTGGGCCTCCCTGTTGGGTGTGGGAAGGAGGCACAATGACTAACGGAGGCTCCCTCATCTGTAGGAACTTGTTGGGAAGTAAGCGCTCGGATAGGCTAACAGTTGCCCGGCCAGTGTGTGAGGGAGAGGGCTGGTGTGCACTGGGCCACAGACAAGAGACAGCTAACTCCTGTTCCTGGGCTGCATCGCAGCGGTGGGCTCCTAAGTGACCTCGAGGGCTGAAGAAGACTTGAACAAGCAAGAAAGGAGAAATGAGTGGCATTTCAGAACCAAGCCCCAGAGGCCCACGCCCCAGGGCCCGCTTTCAGGGCGTGAACTATCCGTGGTTCTAAATGGAGGGGTGTCCTGGTCTGTCGGATTTGCAGAGAGCGGGGTACATTTGAAGTGAGGTACTATTTGTTCCTAATGCGGCACTCACAGGCAGTCTGCCTCAGCCTGGGTTTACCCTCTGAAGTTAGACGGACGCAAAGCACCGCAGGCCCTTCCTAGTGACACAGGCCAGGTGGGTGGCCCCATACGCAGGGGCCCTGCAGCCCTGACTGAGTGCCCCTTACCGGAGTAGTGGTTGACCAGGTCCTCCAGGCACTGGAAGGTGAGCCTGGGCGAGATGTAGTACCAGTTGTTGGGCAGGCGGAAGATGCGGTAGTGCTTCACCTGCCTGTGCCTCACCGACAGTGAGTAGAAACCTGCATGGAGGGGAGAGGGGGCCGATCAATGGCTTCTGAGGTCCCCACCCGAGGGCAGCCGGGACCAGCCCATCTGCGCTGGGGCGTGCAGGAATACCAGGACGTGGCCCCGCGGGGTGTGAGCAGCAGCTGCTCCCATGCATGAACTTGCTCTGCTTGGATGTCGCTCGTCCCCTTGGTATACCCTGGAGTGACACGGCCAGTCCAGGGCTCCAGGTACATGGGCCTCCTCCTCTGGCTTTGGAGGTGAATGTGGGGATGGAGGATTCTACATCCCCAGACTCCTGGGGCCGCAGGACATGCACACCGTTCAGGCAGGACCCGTAGACCAGGCTCTGGCTCTTGGGTCCTTCTTGGGGCTGTATGCTATGGGGTTTACCTCCTCCAAGTGCTGCCCCCTGCATGTTTGTCCAGTGGGAGATTTCACAGTTGTGTCTCTGCTCAGGCTCTTTCCTCTGACTTAAGTTTGCTTGTCTCGGAAATGTGGAGCTAGTGGCAGCCTGGACATGGGTCGGGACATCCCTAGGAAACTCGTGAAAAGTGCTGTTTGTCCTTCAGTGTCACCCGAGGGCTGACCATATGGTCAAGAGGGGGCCCTGGCAGCGCTGTCACCTCCTCTAGCCTGGAACTCCTCAAAAGGAAAGAAATTTAGATCCAAGCATGTTTTAAGGTCTTCCACCACTAACACACACACACACACACACACACACACACACACACACCCCACATACACAGAGGATGAGGTTCCAGGGGTGAAAACAGCTCAGGAGGTGTGCACAGGGAGAAGCTGGCATCTACTAGTGTGCACTGTCAGTGCTGGGTAGGGCTGAGCTCCTTCCAAACAGCCTCCCCATTGATTCTCCAAGAGGACCTGGGAGGATGGCACCCAGCTAGCTGTAGATGGAGAGGTGGGGGCTCAGAGCCGGCCTGAGCACACAGCTCAGGGGCTGTGGTGTGGGTGGGTGCCCCTTCCTCCATGCCATCTTGAGGGTGACCTGCCGCACTCCAGGTCTGCCCTCTGCACCCACCACTGAGCAGCTTCGCATCACTTCCATGGAAGTGGAGTTCACTGGGTGGTGAGGCACAGTGAGTGGAAAAGGTTCAGAGCTTTGCACAACCGGGGAGCGAGGCCTGCACCCCCCTGCTTGCCCTGCTGCGGCTCTGCCTTAGGACACTGTTCTCTTTAGATGAGCTGCACTCTCCCAATGGCTCCTTCACCCCTGGGCGCCCAACCAGAGTCTAGCTCTGGGGTACACACACCTAGCCTTTGCCCTCTGCTTTTTTTTTTTTTTTTTTTTTTTTTGCAGAACCGTGGATTGAACTCAGGCCCTTGCACTTGCCAGGCAAGCACTTATTCTACTGAGCTATCTCCCCGGCCCCTGCCCTCTGCTTTGAGCTTATCCTCCCTCCACATATTTTGGTCTTTCATAGAAAGTTGCTCTGGGGCTCTCAAAAATCACATGTAAGCCCCTGCTTCCCTGCAGCCAGGCTGGGCTCACTGTGGTGAGCGCTCCAGTGCCAAGTGGCCCTGGTTCTTAGTGGGCGCCTAAAGAAGGCTCCTAAGTATTCTGCTTTCTCTTTTTGTGACAGCTAGGTAACAAGGAACATGTTGGAAACTCAGAAATGTGCCCTATACTGAAGCAGTGGTTGCTGTGAGCACCTCGTAGGGAGGGTCCTAGCTTGAAGTGCTTTGCTTTTGTGACCGCATACTCTCCATGTCCTAGGCATGGCACGAAGGACCTCCCCACTCTCAAGCCCAGGCCATTGATGAGGTAGTGGCTTAGTGATTCATGGCTGAAACCAGACTCCGGGCTCTTGCTTTGAATTGTGAGAAGGCCCAACTATTTCTGTTTCCAGTGAGGCAGGAGGCTGTGAGAACGAGGACTACAGCAAGTGTGTGATAACACCTCAGCTTGGTCTCCCGTTAGGCTGCAGGCTGTCTCCTTCCACAGGGAGGAAGGGGGTACTGATATTGAGGCCGTCACGCCACAAGGAGCGCCTTTGAATGTCACCACAGTCTTAGAAGAGAGGGCCTTCCTTTCCAGGTGAGAAAACGGGCCAGAGAAGCTACAGATCTCAGAGGACAGCACAGGCCCTATCCCAGTGTCCCACACCCTGGCTGTCAGTTTTGTTCTCACTTGGAGGAAATTCTCCAACAGGAGCCAACAGGGCCTACCCACAGTCAAGGCTAGGGCTGGGGGCCACTCCCAGCCAACCCTGCTCCCTGTTCCAGGTCCCTCACTGTCGCATTGGGATCCCAGGCAAGCATGGCCACAGGGAGCTGACCACATGGACCCATTTGTGTGCACAAGGCAGGAGCAGGAAGAGAGCCATGTTGGGAGTTAGCCGAGATGGAGCCCGCTGTACCTGGCATGGAGAGTCACTCACCCTTCTTGGTCTCACTCTCCCGGATCATGAAGGAGCCCACCTTGGTGTCTGGCAGCTGCAGCAGCTCCTCAGCCTTGTCTCTGCCTAGTCCTTCAAACAGCCAGCTGGGCAGGAGAAAGATAGCATGAGCAGCCTGTGGGTCCCGCCCACAGAGACCCAGGCCCTGTTGGTGTGGCAGTGACTACGAGCTTCAAGGCCAGTGACTGTGAGCTGCTAATGAGCAATGTTCATTCATTCCTTCATTCCTGTTTTCCATCTTTCAAATAAACTTTCCCAAGCATCTGTTAGGTGCCAGGGGCTGAGGAGTAATGACACGAGATCTATACGCCCTCTTTCCTGGATTGTTTCTCAGATGCCAAATGGAAAGTATCTCTGTCCTGTTCAATGATATATGTGATCACAAAGTGCTGTTGTGTACCCATGTGGCAGTCTGTCTAATGTGAACTGCCAGTACCCCTGCTCCAGTACCCTCACTAACCTCTGTCTTGTGGGGTTCTGCTGTGGTAGCCAGGGTGCTGTGCTTCGTAGATGTTTCTGAGTGATTCAGTGAACACAAGGAGAGAAAGGTAGCTGATGATTGCCCTCCTGGGACAAGCCCCGCTCTACTCTCCTTCTATGTCGTCTGACACATTTGAATACATTTGCCATTGTGCCATACATGCGTTTGTGCTTCTTGCTTTTTTCGCTTAAGAGGAAGAAAAAGCAGTTGCAACACTGCAGCCCCATTTTTTTTGTTGGCAGATTTATTGCAAAGGGGAACCAGCACTTCTGCCTGCTCTTAGGGAGCTGGGCTGGACTCAAAGGGATCTCTGTTCCAAGAGAAAGAGCCCCCACTCGTTTTTCAGATCAGGGCCTGCCAGATCTGGGCTTGGCAGGAAATGTCGTGTTAGCGAGTGGCTGGCATCTACTCAGAGGCAATCACAAGTCACTTTTGAGCAGGTTCTGAACTTCAGTGACTGGATCCTGGCTTTTCATCCAGTTTCAAACTGCGTACACTGTAGTGAATATTAATACCGTGCCCAACTGGAGCCTTTGGCATTGGCCAGGGCACGTAGCAGGTGGAGGTTGGTGACTGCCCCCAAATCCACAGGTGTGAGAAGACCCAGAGGCCCAGCACCAGGTGCTGCTTGTTTACTGTGTTCTCATGACCGCAGTCACTTTCACTGTGCAGGTCATGACTCTGCTGTGCTTGGCCACATGTATCAGCTAGTCTCTTAGTGTTGTACAATGCATGGAATAGTAATTCTTTTAGAGTTTGTGACAAACATTTGTGCACTCCAGTCCTTCCATAAGATCCTACTTACAGACATGAAGATAGTACAAAAGTAATAGCCACCAATGATTCCATTGGTATAGTAGCTCGTACCTCAAGCAGTTGGATTAGAATTCCTGTGTAAGCTCCCTGAAATGGGTACAGTTATCTCTCCTTCACAGACAGGGGTTCTGAGGGTTACAGTAACTGCAGCCATGTCAGCAAAGTGAGAGAGCAGAGCTCCAGGGTCGCACAATCATGGTGCCTCATTGCCTTTCTTCCTCTTCCGGACTTTAGAGCATGTTATTGCAGCTGCTGGGTTGGTTGTCATACCAGCTTATAGTAGTGCTACTTCTATGGGTTCCCATGGCTCTCCAGCCCCCGGCAGCTTCAGCAAGATGTTAGCATGTTTTCCAAAGGCATGGGCAGGCCCAAGGGAAGCCCCCACCACAGCAGGGTGATGTGCGCCTTCAGACTGCAGCACCTAGTCCCCTCAAGGTCACTCTCTTCATCCAAGCCACAGAAATGGCTTCTGATGCCCATGATTAAGATAAGTCCCAGCACTGCATCCCAGTCTTTCAGACCCTCGGGGGTTACCTCAGCTTCACCACATGACCACATGGTGAGCCAGGTCCTTTGAGTGCGAAGAAGTTATTCACACTTATTCTGGGGAGTTCCCTTCCCCTTCCTTTTCACCCTGACCAAGCCTGGTGCCTCAGATGCTGTTCTGGTCCCACCTCTTCTGTAGATCCAGTTGGAGACAAAAGCCTTTTGGGATGAGCAGTCTGTGTGCTTCTGCATTTGGATCTGATGAGAACATGGCTGCTGTTTTCAGGGTACCCCCTGAAGTGTCCACAGGGCGGTCACTCTGTCCTGTGCTTGTAGCCCCATGACTTGGTTGTATGTTCACACCTTGCTCACCCTCCCTGTCATTCTGTGCTGTGCTCTCCACTGGGCAACTGAGAGAAGACAACTGAGGATGCATGGGTAGCTTATTCACTGTCACATGAGCCCAGCGAGGAGAGAGGCGGGGTTGGAAGCCCAGTAGACGCCTTTAGGCCCTCATTCCCCAAGGGCAGTTAAGCATTGAGCCCCAGGAGCATGGGGACTTCCCTCATGGCACTCACGAGGAAGCCCACTCAAAGAGTAGATGGGGTTCATGCACATCCCACCATTCTCCATGGGCTGAGCAGAAGAGCGAGTCCCCCCTCTACCCAGGGCCTTCCTTCCCATTGCGCAAGCAGGAATCTCTCTGCCTGCATGAGTTCTCAGCGTGGATGTCGTGACTTAGCCAGGCTATCTGAGAGATGCACTCACCCATGGTACACTCTGGCCACGCAGATTGCAGGGATGTAACTCTCTCTGCCTGTGGTGAGAGAAATGGCTTTCCACCAGCCGCCTTCACTGTCAGGGCAGAACAGACAGGGCCAGGAGAGGTGAGCGGCAAGCACAGGACAAAGGGCAGCGCTAGCAGGTGTGGCCCACGCTATTGGCCATGATCTGCTATCGGCCACATTGACCTCAATGTCTGAGCATTTTATTTATTTATTTATTTATTTATTTATTTATTTATTTTTGTAATCAAGATAATTTTTATTTTTTAGTATTTATTTTTTCCATAATTTTATTGAGAAATAAATAGCAATGAGACAGTTTCAAATCAAATTGGTAGGACAGTTTCAATAATTAACACATTGCATACTGCCTTCCTAGTGGTTATTTGTTGTACAAGATGCAGACATGATATTCTATTTACAAACATTATTACAACAAATCCCTCTATTCATTAAGTGAATGCAACTATATATCTATCCTAACCATTTTGAATACATAGATACAAAATGGACATTCATCTGTATACCCTTTTTTGTTAAGTTCTGTTATTTGAATATTATAGGTGTGTGAACTCAGCAAAATATTCCAAAATAGTCCAGTATGAACATTTCATTTTAAAGCATAGAGATCTGTCTCCCCACCTCCCCATGGCAAGGTACCCATGTGCTGGCAGTAGCTGTTTTCAGAATTCAGAAGCTAATGTTTTAAATGGTTGCTTCATTCTTGCAAGCTTCTTAAAATTGTCTATTGTGTTGACTTATACCCTGGATAGTTTTATATCTCCCTATTAAGGAGGACCAGCATGAAAGGGGCTTAGGGCTCCTGTTTTGTTCCACAGACTGTTTAGAATCAACTGAAGAGGCAGGAGGAATGGCAGGCAGTATTATTTGCTTAGTATCAGAAGTCTTTTCAGACCCTGGGTCCTCTTTCTTGCACTTGTCTATACATCACACTGTGTGTGGGGGTAGAGGAGGCAGGCCAATAGAACAAGCAAAATCTTCATCATGCAGGGTCTTGAAGGTCAAGTTAAAGAGTTTAATTTTATCCAGCAGGCCATGGGGAGGCTTTGAAGGTTTTGTATCATGGGCAGTAAAAGGGGTGGAGGTTACAGGGTGATAGGAATTTCTCACCTTGCAGTAGGACTAGGGTCCATTGGGTGGGCGACTATGGTTAAAAATGTAATGATTAAACCCAAATGATACCTAAAGTGACTTCATCCTGTCCTGAGGGTCATAGAAGTTTCAAATGTTAACTCACTCAGAAATCACACGTAATTTCTCCCCTCGGCGAAATATTGGGGGGCTGATGTCAGGAGAGGGGTAATCAGTCAGCACGGCGAGGAAATCACTCTCCAGCCCTAGGAAACAAGCAGAGGAGTGTTTGGGTTCTCAAGGAGTAGAAAGGCAGCCCTGGGTCTGGGGATGTGGGTGGTGAGGACTCTCCTGTCGGGACAGTGTATGTTCAGGGAGATACAGTGTGCTTTGGCACCCCCTCCTCGGAGAAGGCCACAAGTGCCTGGAGGGCCCATGGGGCAAGTGATGTACTTCCATCCCCAGATCTGGCTGGCCTGATACTAGATTCTCTCATCTGAGAAATGGGACCAGAGCCCTGTGAGCTGAACCCACGCCATCTGACTGTAAGGTCTGGCCTGCGTCCACCAGCATTCATCCCTCTGGCCAGTAGCTCATGCTGGATCCTGCTGCAATGAAACGCACCTAGGCCCATGAACAACGAAGGGCTACAGAAACCTCCCAGAGTGTCCTGGGCCCATGGTCCCCAGGTCTGCTGGGTATGGAAATGCGCTCAGGGAGTTCTCGCAATCCTCTAGGACCAAGAAGCACCAACCCTGAGCTAGAACACAGCACTTCCTCCTTGTATAGAACAGCACACTGGGCCTGGCATCTGCTTAACAGGAACTTTTGTTGGGGATGGAGGTGGCAGCAGAAAAGCACTTTTCATTGTATGATAGTTTATTGCAAGTAATCTGGGTAAAGTATTGAAAAGGAAACAATGCTATCGGGGCTACATGAGCATAGCTTACAGTAGATATATAATGATAAGGTAATGAATTTCCTTTTTGGCACTAAACGGTATCTCTTTTGCATCCTTAGTGGCTGGCCATCATTTGCATGCATGAGGGACAGTCGTATCAAAATGCATTTGGGGGGAAATGCTTCATTTTCCACAGCAGTGAGCGTGGTAATTGTCTGCTGTGGTGATTATCATTGCATTGGCTGGCTCAGTTTCTGCACTCAGTGCTGGGTAGCACTGTGTTGTGATTCATTTACTTGGCAGTTAGCCACTGAGCATGAGACAGGGCTCAGCATCAGTGCCCACAATCACAGGAGTAGCTGTTCCCATCCCTTGCCCTAGAAAGTTCTGGACGAATCCCAGCCCTGAGACACTGGGCTGGAAGATTCCAACAGGCCACCGTCTGAAGTGCAAAGCCCCTTTTCTGAGACCCCAAACCCCTGCCTCTTATACCCATACGTCCTACATCTTTAACTCTGAGGTGGAAAGGTCAAGTTAAAGAGAGAGATGAAAGATGAATGGGACTTTTGGTAAAAGGTCTGGTTAGCAATTGATAAATGAATGAGAAACAAGTTATCGTGGTAGACTAGTGCATACAATATGCTCTTCATGAAGGGAAACTGAGCTGCAGACAATGAACTGTGTAAAATCAAGAGTTCCCAAGTGTGAGATGGAAACTGAAAGTGACCTTTAGCGCTTTAGTGGCTTGGAGAGATAGCAGAGCAGGACAACTGAGAATCAAATCTTCTAGGGTATGGAAGGATGACCCCACTAGTCCTCTGGTTTCTCTTGCTATAAGCTGGCCTCAGACCGTAAGAGAACCTCCCTCCCATCCTGTTTTGCTGAATTCAAAAGAGGAGTTCCCACCCCGTGTAGCCCAGTCCCAGCCCAACAGAGACAACACCACAGTTGTAATGGTGTGAAACTGCAAGTCCTCAGTTCTGACAATGGGTGGGTCCTGATTTGGTGGGGCATGAACTTTATGAAAATTTGAAGGGAAAAAAGGGGTATGAAATTGCAAGTGTAAGATGAGGACCTCAATAGGGTGCTGAACCAGTGAGAGGCCTAGCTCCATGATTCACTTAGCTTCCTGGTCTACCCACCCAGCTTGCAGGCAGGCTGCTCACAGGCAAAGGGATGAGGGTAGACACACCTGCCATCTTAGTCTGGAGAATGACCCATTGGAAATGCCTTCATGATGGAAGCCCATTCTTGCTAGACTGGCCTTGAATGTGGAAGGACCTCTTCTTCACTCAGCGGCCTCAGCGAAGGGTGGTAGGCCTTTGTGAGACTCGCAGGCTCTTGGGATGCCCTCAGAACCCCTTTTTAGGCTGTCCCCTCTGCCTGGACCCACTGGCCTCATCCTGCCTCTTTCCTCACCTCACCAACTTTGGCTTCCTACATTCACCTTTGGCCCCTGGGGTGTTCCTCTGAAGCAGTGACTTCAGGCTACCCTGGAACACCTGTGTGACTCTCAGTGGTGAATTTCAAGAGGACAAAGGAGCCATGGCTTCCATTCCTGAGCCCAGACAGAGCCTGTCTTTTATCGGATGCTCTGGGCAGGTCCCTTGAGTGTCATGTGGATCAGGCCCTATGTGACTGTACCCTCAGGATAGGGCTTTAGGTTGCTTTTTTTTTTTTTTTCCTTTTTAATCTTTATTTATTTGGTACAGGGTCTTGCTAAGCAGGTAGAACTCCTTGTGATCCTCCTGGCTCAGCCTCCCCAGTGCTGGGATTGCAGGCATACACTACCATGCCCAGTTTCGGTGGCTGGCACCATGCCCTCTGGGTTCTGGGTCCCACCCAACGTGTGGTACCAGGGATCAAACTGGGTCCGTGCACTTGTTGGGCAGGTGCTTGGTTCGCCAAGCTATCTCCCTAGCCCTTTTATTATTGCTTTTGTTAAGACAATCCAGGCCGAAGGGACTGATCTCTGGCAGGCCAGCAAGGTGCTCAGCCCCTCAGATCACTTCTTGAAAAACAAGGGTTGAAATGAGATGTGGGTGCTTATTGTTATCTGTGAGAAGAATAGACCCTTGAGGCAGGTCCTGCTGTGTGGTTTGATGCCTGGCTCAGGAGTGAGAACAATTATCTTTTGTAGTGCTGAGAGAAAAGTAAACTGACAGAAAGACACAAAAACAAAAGCAAAATGATTATAAAAGCAATTGTTCCAATGAAGGAAAGGGGGTTGGGGGTTAAGGAGTTTCAGTTTCACAGTGACAGAGAAGTTTCCTGTGGAATTTCCACCATAATGATGTTTTTGTGTCTCTGTTCCCTCAACTTCAGTGAGGCGGCCTTGCATCCTGGCTTTTGGTTGGAGGGTCTGAAGGCTGAGGCCTGGTCTTTGGCGGCGGATCTCATCTGTGTTCCTAGTCAGTGTCAGCAGAACAAAGTGACTAAAAGGTACATCTGTAGGGACAGTGGCAGGGCCTGTTTTAAGCATGCTCTCTCTCTGGATCCCTTCTTTGTCTCCCCAGAACTTTTGTGCCTACAGAGAAATAAATGCAAGGCAGGAAACTTCCCTTGAGTTTTCAAATTGGACCGTATTATCACATACTCTTGCGGCCTCTGGACACACTGGCCTGGCCCTGTCTCCTCCCATGCTTTATCAACTTCGGCCTCCCCAGGAGGGCATCCTACATTCACCCTTGGCCCCTGAGGTGTTCCTCTGAAGCAGTAACTTCAAGCTACCCTGTCCCATCTGTGTGATTCTCAGTGGTGAGTTTCCAGAGGGCAAAGCAGCCATGGCTTCCCTTCCTGAGCCCAGACAGATCCAGGCTTGTATCGGATGCTCTGGGCAGGTACCGTGCATGCCATGTGGATCAGGCTCTGTGTGACTGTACCCTCAAGAAGTGCCTCTATGTTGCTTTTTAAAAATCTTTATTTATTTGGTACAGGGTCCTGCCATGCAGCTTGGACTCATAGTGATTCTCCTGTCTATGGAGAACTGAACTGTCAGAGCAGACAAAGGAGTAATGAGGCTAGAGGGTGCTGAAAACACAGACTGCAGATTTAAGATAAGGAAGCAAATTAAGTGATGATGTGTGTGCCACACATGAAGGAAATCCAGAGAGAAGGTGCAGAATGCTCTGGGCAGAGGAGGAGCCTTGACGTGACTGCACATGGCTTCAGTCCTCCTCTGCCACTTAGTATCTCTGCACTTTGGGCACAGGCTACTAACCCATCGGGTGGGATTTCTTTATGTCTGAAAGTGAGCAATGTCAAAATCTGCCTCGCCACCCAGGGGGCTGAGAATTCACAATGAGTCACTATGAGGGGCAGGCTCTGTCCTTAAGTGACAGTCAGTGTCCTTGTCATGTGAGGCGTGCTGACCAGAGTCAGCCAATAATTCTTAATTTTGAAACTGTCTACTAGGGTAGATTTAAATATAGCTTATGTCTTTCTGAGGATCCAAACATCAGCTCCAGAAGATGACATTCAAAATGCCTAGTATTTGCTGACAGTTCTACCGTGGAAGGCCTCAGGTGAACTGAATGTACCAATGTGTAAATGGGAGCTGAGTCCAGAAAATCAGCGGACCCCAACACAGTTCACTGGCCACAGAGCTTATGTTGTTTTAGGAAGACAGGCCCGTTCGTACCTGAGTATCCTTTGGAGAGCCCCTTCCATTTCTTTCTCATTGTGGAAAACGCTATCTGTCACTCCCATTTAGAACCGGGACACACTGAGACCAACTTACATCTTCAACATTGCCCCACCCTGCCACAGGAACTCTGCTGTGAAGGGTGGAGAGCAGAAGCGTGAAGATTTGAGCACCTGGCAAGGCACAAGAATTTCAAAGGCCTCGGGTCACTTTGAGGCCATGAGCAGACAGGACGTGGAAGTAGGTTAAAGCGCTTGCTCAGAGTCAAGTAGCAAAGGAGCCGCACAGGGTGGATTCGAACGTAGGTGCTATGAATCTGCAGTCCAGGTGCTACCTGAGCAGGGACACTAACAGGACTTTGGAATGGCCACCTGGTGGGAAATGCAGGGGCACCTGCACCATGAGTGATAGGAGGGCGAGAAAGGGCAAATAGTCAATAGAGGATACAAAAGCAGGGTGTGTTGGAAGCTAGGAGGGGATTTCAGAAGTACTAGGTGTGTCTTTTGTCCTGTGTGACTGTGATTGTGGCATAGGGCAGCTGCTGCTTTGTCTGTGGAGAAGCTGTCTATGCTATATCTGTTTCTTTCCTATAATAATTTTTTTTTGTTTTGTTTTGTAGTATTGAGTATTGAAGTCAGGGCCTTGACACTAACCTATATCTCCAACCTATTTTATTTTTAGTTTTTACTTTGGGACAAGTTCATGCTAAGTCACTAAGTTGTCCAGGCTGGGCATAAGCTTGTAATCCTCCTGCCTCACCCTCCCAGAGTGTTGGGTTAGAAGTGTGGGCCTTGGCACCTGGCCATAAACATCTAGCCTTAAGCCTGGCTCATGTGTGACGTTCATCTACCTATAGGCCAAGAGCCCATGCTAGCCGGTGACAGCTTCACAGCACCACAGCTCTCCTGGCACTTAGCTCCCAGGCTCTGCCTCAACCACACTTGACCCTTAACAGAATGAGACTGGGGCCAACTCCAGTGGCATCTCACAGCTGGCACCTGCAGCCAGGCAACTGTAGGTGTGGCGCTGAGTGGCCCCGTGATTTCAGCTTCCCATTCACATTCTCCAGGGTCAGGCCTGAGCTCAGGGGCTCCCACGTGGTCACAACAGCCTGACTCTCATGTCTCAGGAAGTTGCACACTGACACAAGGAAGCAATCTGACGGAGCCTGGCAGGCAGGCTGGCTGGGGGATAGTCTACCAGATTCCGCTGTGACCTCGAGCATCTTGCCTATAGGTGAAGGAATGTGCAGAATGTCACTCCCCTAGAACACTTTTCTAGCCATGCTCTGGTTTCTCCATGTGTTAGTGGGCAGACCGGACCCAAACCCATCCACAAGCATTGGCTCCATCTCCATGTTCTCAGGGCCTGTAGACCCTGGGAGCTGGCCCAGCACTGCAGGTGGAGCTGACCTACGGGCTCCAGAGTCTCACACTGGGCTGTCTGGGCCCCCAGGGCTTCCCAGACTACCTTTGTCTTCATTCTTCCCTTCTCTTTCCCAATCTTCCCTTCTCTTTCCCATGTGTAAATTCATCCCAGGGGCAACAGCAGGACCGTCATGGAACGATCTCTGGAGTGGCAGTGCTGGGGTACATGCTGTCCTGGAAGCCCTCTGGCTACTAATAGACTGTGACCACCTTGAGTGGACATCAGGGCAGAAGATCAGCAAAATCTGGAGTCTGGCCTGAGGCTACCCAGCTAGGCAGCCACATGCCCAGAGTCAAAACATGATCCACTCCTGGCCAAGCACGTGGACTGTGCTTTGGCCACTGACTCTCCTTTGCCATAATCCAGTGCCACCTACACTGCTGTAGTGGCCTCTAGTAACTTTTCTCTTAACATTGATTAGCTTTTAAAAACTATCCTCTTGTTCTAAAAATGTGAACTCAAGGATTGGACCTGCTGCTTATGTTATTAAGAAAATCCCTAAAGGAACAATTGACATTAAAGTGGAAGGATTGTGGTCTACCTAACACCTTCGCCTGGCCTTGCAGTGGGTGAGACCCAAATAAGAAACCAGAATCTCACCTAAGCTCCGATGCAGGTACCTGTCTGTGGGAACCTGTGCCAGGGACAGGAGTGTCGCTGCCATTGAGCATGGTGGCCTGACCAGGCTCACTCTCCTTATCCCAGAGAACCTGTGCTCTGGCATGCATGGTGCACAGGCCTCTAGAGAGCTGCTCTTGCCTCAGGACAGATGGTAAAAAGAGGGGTAGCAGGCTCAGGCTGCCTAGTCTTACATCCCTGCCGTGCCTTTCCCAGCCCGCTGGACTCGGGAAGTCATTTAACCTTCAGCGCCTTAGTTTCCTCAACAGCAGATTCAGATAAATGGGACAACACAGGTCACTGCGAGAATTCAGAACTTATATGTGTAAATTCACAGATAGCATGTAGTTGGTATGTGGCGTGTAATTGCCTCTGTGGGTATGTGGCATGTAATTGCCAACGAGATGTGTCAGTTCATCCATGTGAAGCCTGTGTAACTATGTGGTAGGTGGGCCTTGGGTCACTCTGTAGTCCTTCCCACTTCCCCACAGAATCAGCAGATAAGGAGAGAGAAACTCCTCTCGCTGTATGTTTGTGCAGAAGCAGGCCTAAGAGCTGGTCTGTGGCCCCACTTTAGGGAGTCAGGAAAAATGCATGTCGGTACTATGTGCACCTTCACAGGACTGCTCAGCGGGCCTGGGATGGGCGGACCTGCTGGCTACCTGCAGCCCTGGAGTTCTCCTATTGTTATCTGAGAGCTACACCGAGCTGGATCCAAGATTTCTCTGTCTTCTTCCTCCCAGGATCCCCAGCCCAACCCTTTTTGTCCATGGCAGGCCACTAGATCGATGTACCACGGATGTGATCTCCATGCTGGTGTGCTAGAAGGGGTCTGAGTGCTGCACAGTTTGCATGGTCAACTCAGCTGGTGAAGTCTTACATAGGTCAGGGTAAGCGGAAGGAAGGAAAGGTGGGAGGGCCACAGCAGCATCACTGAACATGTCTGTAAGATGGAGATGTGCTGCTTCCTCTTCTGCTGGGAGCTCCCTACAGGTCTGTGCTGCCTGGTCAGGGGCCAAGGAGAAGAGTAGAGAAAATATAGGACTGTGCAGAAGATTCACTACTTGGCATGACTTGAAGTCAAGCCATGGCCTAGCTAGCTCTACCCTCTTCCACTTTCAGGGGCTGCCCATGGTAGGCAAGCCCAGTGCAGACAGACCTCCAAAAGCACAGTGCTGAGAGTCTCCCCACCTTCCTTTCCCAGGGATCATGGAGAGGGAGAGCAGTTCCATCTGCAGCTCCCACTGAGTCCCTGGAGGATGCTGAACAGCATCCCCAAGGTCCTGTGACTTCCAAGGGACATTGCCAAGTCAGTGGAGATCCTTTGCCTTGAGGGCCTGCCCTATTTCAAGTCCTGCTATTTCTGTGCCGTGTAACCTCTGGAGCTAGTATAACTAGGAAAACTTGGGTTAGGAGAAAATACATGGTGAAAGCCATATTCCAGGGCATTCACAGACGTGGTTTGAAGGAGAAAGGTTTCCCCCAAAGCTCAGAAATCTCATTTATCTGAAATCCACACTAGTGGCCCTGAGGTCAGCCTGCTGCTGCTGCCTGTGCAGGGCCAGGGGCTTTGATTCCTTCAACCTTTTGTCACTCCAGCTACTGTCACAGAGTTCCCTTGTGTGCTGGTCTAAGGCAGCCAGCAAGCCAGGTACTGCCTCCTGGAAGCAAGAGGAGTTGAACCAGTGTAGTGGCCTGGGACCTCCTTCTGGGAAGCCCTAGCCCTCTGCATCACATAGACAGGAGCTGATCAGTGGAGCATCCTCCCACCAGCGTCTCCTCCCTTACTCAGTAGGCGCATGAAAAGGAGGAAACAAAGGCAGGGCTGATGATAAAGGAAACTTCTCAGAGGTAAGGGTGAAAAAATCACCCAGCAATGCTTGATGTGGTTGCCTGGATTGCACACTGGGTATGGCCTGGGGAATTCTTTTACCCAGGAGGCGGAGGAGGGGAGACCCCTTGACCTCCTTTCAGAGGTGACCTCCCTCCCACATCATGGAAAGAGAAAAACTTACTTAATGACAATTTGCATTTAAAACATTAAGGCAAATGAGCAAGTCCCCTGGGGCTGGTGTTTTCATGGGGCTTGCTCAAGCGCACTGCCCTTCTCCACCAGACTGACTGGTGAGAGCCCTGATGGGTGTGGGTCGGGTGCCTCCTGAGCTGGCCTGGGTGCCAGGCATTGCCAGTGGCTTTCTAGGGGCAGTTATGACCCTCAGGAGGCCAGGACCAGGGCCAGTCTAGGGAGGAGGGGAGCCCGGCCCAGTTGTCGATCTTTGCTTGGAAGGCAGCAGCCTGCGGATGTGCATTCTGCTCCAGTTCATCGCGGGCCCTGCTGGGCCTGGGAATGCTTTTTGTGTTCCTCTCCAGTTTGGAGAGTAGAGTTGCTGGGCTGAGGCAGCATGAGCCACTGTGAGTGCCTGAGTCTGACTTGGAAGGGCATGGCAAAGCAGGGTCTCGCGTCGCACGACGGCATCAGGAAGGCCGTGAGAGTTTCTGCTGCAGTTTCACTTGGGCAGGAGGGGAGAGCTGCTTTGTAAAGGGGTCCAAAAGTTGAGGAGCGAGCCATGACTAGAGGCAGGCGGGACCCATGCTCATGCTGAGCCTGAGCTCAGGGGACAGAGCGCCCACCTGTGCTAGTGAATGCCCATGCAGCGCCACAGCAGGAGAGGGCAGTGTGACATCGGTCACCTCTGTTGCAAGGTGCTCACCAGGCTCCAGATATTGTGAGGGAGCCAGCAGTGACCGGAGAGCCCCAGGAATAACACAGTAGACACCTGGCCTTCCATAGGACCCACATAGGCACCACACACACACACACACACACACACTCTGTGTGCACTTGGAATCTTCCCAAAGGTAAGGATGTCAGAAACAACCAGCATAGCTGACCCCAGGACACAGGGGGTTTACCTTTCAGCTTTTGCGTTTGCTCACAGATGGCCCCTCTCCTCTTCTAGCCACTGAAGGACTCTTTGTACTTTAGGGTGCCTTGCCACCACTGGCTAACCTGGGGCCCCACCCAGAATGTTTGGCACCGAGCCATCCTACTAGCAAAACTCGAGGACCCGTTTCTTCTCCAGAGGACATGGTAGGGAGAAGAAACAGCTCAGTCGGCTAACATGGCTAAAACTCCTGTCACGCAACCTGTGTGGATGACAACCGTGTGTAACACGCAGGCAGTGCGCGATGCAGGAGGTTCTGGCCGTCAGACCCCGATGGTCCTGGGTGGAAGTCGGACTCTGCAAGTTGCTAGCAACACAAACTACGTGGGGTGGGGGCTCTGCTTCCACACCTGCCAAATGAAGCATGGAAGCAGCCAATCTCAGAGGCCCATCTCAAAACGTTCACAGCTTAGCATTGCTACAAGCACCCAATTCTTTTAAATCTTTAATTATTAAATATTTGAACCATAAACACAGTGGTGTATAATGAATCCCAGTTAGCAAAATGACCAGCATTCGCATAGGACAGAGTTAAACATCTCAGCAAAGGAAAAGACAGACTTACCATCTGTACTGGGCAGGGGCCGCTCCGGGGGCGAAGGGGTGGATTTCATGCTGTTGCCCATGTCTCTCTCTCCCCTGGGGTGGCCAGCGACACTCAAAGCCTGTGGTACAAGGACATGCACAGAAAGTCAGCTGCACCCTGAGCCCTCGAGGTGGAGAGTGACCCAGTTCAGAGTGCATCGTGCCTCATCTCTGAGGCAGCCCGCTTCTCGAAAGGCGGCTGTTTTCATGTCAAGATGCGATTTGTGTTGGTTACATTTGCGCAGCTTGAGCTCTTTTATCAAGGGAATGACAGAGTAAAACCACAGAGAAGGAAGTTGCTAACGCATGCTGTTGGTGGCAGAAGTTTCCATTCCTCCGCACCCTCGCCGAGGACAGCAGGCAGTGTTTGTATAGAAGCCAAGCTGCATTTCAGAGGGCCTGAAAGGGTCTGAGCTCAGAACCTGAGTGGTCAGCTTCCTCACGGTGAGAATTCAGGGCACACAAAACGTAGGAGCGAGGTGACATAATAACCCAAAGGGATGTGGAGGGGGCCCTGTCTCCACATTCGCTTGTCTGTGTAAATTTTCCAGCACACTTTCACAAAGCAGCGGCAGGGACGGCTTCCTGATGACCCGCTGGCCCAGCTGCCTGTCGTCATGCTACCAAAGTGCTCACACCTGCTGTTGCTTTTGATCACTGCAGAGAGCCTGCAAGCTCAGCTCACAGGGAAGACGGCTGAGTCTTGGGATAAGAGACCTGTCCAGAGTCACACGGCAGGGAAAGGAGGGTTGGGACTTGAACTGCTGATGTTTAACCTGCAGCTTTCTCCATCACGGTTTTTCTTCCAAAGCCCATCCCAGTTATTCTCATGGTTCACTTACAAGCTGGCTAACCAACTTGAAAGGTGTAAGTTGTACACCTTTTCCTGCTAGTTTTGGAGGATAATGGAACAGCTATGGTTTTTGGCTACAAAATTAACAGAGATGAAGCGTGCACAGAAATTAGATCATGGCCTGGCATAAATACACAGCAGTTACAGTCATTTCCAGTCTCTTTCCAGGCTGTCCTTAAAGATTAAGCACTCCAATTCTGAGCCCCAGTGCAGGCATTCTGAAAGTGACATAGATGATTGCAGAAAAGAATGTTAGGCAGCTGCATCCCATGGGATGCTTAAGGCACCGGAGAGGGGCCCATCCATCGATAGGCTGCATCCTGCCTGCGGGGACAGGGAGCCAATGGACAGCTGCCCCAGCCAGCATCCAGGCCAGCAAGAAATAAGCCCCACCTTTTTCTGTGTCTGTACCTCATGTGTCTGGGGAGGGTCCCAATGTCAGCCAGGCCACTCCCACCCACCCTGGGAGCCTGCTACAGTGCTCTCTGTGTTGGCCACAGGGACATGTCCTTGTAAACCTATTGAACGCTGAAAACACTAGGCGTGCACATGCGCTTACTACCACACCAAACCTATAGAATCTCACAACTTGGTGGCACAGTGTACTGTAGGGGAAGGTTGATTCTCTTATGACCATGTGGCTGATAAGAAAAAAAAAAAAGGATCACATCAATATTGCCAACCTGGGCCAGCCAAATAGCTCAGTGGATTAAAGTGCCTGCAAGCTTGGAGGCACAGGGGCTGGGGGTTCAATCCCCAGGCTTGCCAGGCTGTCTTTGCCCCCAGGGTGCGCTGAGATAGCAATTGAGACTGGGAGTGCTGGTGCATGCCTATAATCCTAGCTCTTGGGAAGCTGTAAATAGGCGGATCACTACTAGTGGGATCTAGTAGTGAAACCCTGAACACCCTGTAGAGCCTTCCCTGAAATGCAAAATAAATAAATAAATAAATAAATAATATTGCCAACTTGCAAAAAGATCCAAATTAAAAATTTACAGCACAGTTTCTACTCAACGTATCTGGTTTTGGCACCAATGTTAAGTTGAAAAATCTCAAGTAGAATCATCTGCACGGATTCTAAATGGTCTATGCTATCCCAAACAGTGAGGCCTTCTAGATGAGGTAGAGGGAGGTTGGCATCCTGCCTGGTGTTGGGGAGCAACTAGTGTTAAGTGGGATTCTTAGGATATTAAGAAACAAGGGAAATCAAGTTAAGTGGCTTATTTTTAAAAGTTCATGTATTCTAAATATTTTCATTAAAAACTTGTCACTTAAGACTAAAACTAATATGGCATAGTTTTCTCAAGATAATCACAAGACTTGCGAAGATTAAACACCTGTGATGCACCACAAAGGCGAGGCCAGAAGCGCTTCGCGTCTCAAGTAAAGCAGAGCCATATCTTCTCTGGGCGCCATGGGTCTTGGACGGGGCAGCCTACCTGCAGATGTAGGCCAGGCCCAGGCTTCACAGCAGCCCACAGGACAGCATGATGAGGACAGCATGAGCTCCGCCTGCCGCCGGAAGAGGCTGTGCAGCATTCGCCTTTCTCCCAGAGGAAGTGGATGCATTTGGCCTGTCTCTAGATCCTGGCCTGGCAAACTGCAGGTGGCTGGCTGAGACCCACAAGCCCTGCAGTGTGTATTCCCAGGGCCACTGCCCTGAACAAGTGCCATGAGGGAGGGAGGGAGGGAGGGAGGGAGGGAGGGAGGGCCACGGCAACCCACCAGCCTTAGGCACCATACCCTGGACACCGGCGGGGAGGAACACACACCCAGCCTTCTCACCTGTGCAGAGCCCAGCTCTACACAGTGGGTGGCGAGGACTTGCATGGGGTGCACGGATTGGGGCCACTGCTGCTCTGTCCTCTTCTGCTGCTCCCCGAGGCCCCCAGCTGCCCCAGTCCCACAGCTGCTCTGCCTATCACTGAGGCCCTGGGGCTTCTAGAGAAAGCCCTCAGCATGGAGAGATGACTCTGAAACCAAGCACCGGTTGTCCTTGACTGGGACTCCCTTGACAGCACCTTTCTGTCCTTAAACCTGCCCCAATGCTTATGTCCCACACCACAGGCCACAGACCTGGCCGCTGGGCCCTGCCGCCCGTCCCTCCCTGGCCAGCCTCTCCCACTCCATTCTCTCCTGGAGCCACTTCCTAGCAGTCGGTCCTGGCCATAATGTCCCCTGTCCTCTCTTCCCTTTATGTCACAACTGTGCCAGAAAACAGCTAGAAGAGGCTTTCGCATTCGCCAAATTGCCCCATAACTTCAGAGTTCATCTCAAGCCTTTGGGTACCATTTTGGTGGAGATCCTGGAATCTAGTATATGAAGAAAAAAGTTTAGACTTACAGTTTTCAGACGGGCTAAGTGGGGTCCAGTAAGAGACAGATACCTGAGGATTTGAGACCAGAGGGAAGGCAGTCCGAGGACCCGGAGCCTGTGATTCTACCACGCCTTTGACTCCAGCACACCTCTCTGCTGTGTTCGGGTGGCCGAGCTCACTTTCCATGAGAGAGGGCTGCCTTTGTGCTCAGAGCCCCCCAAGCCCCCTCCAGGCTTCCGGGGCCCCTTGGCACTGCTCACGAGTCTCCCAGAGTCCCCAGGAAGGAGTTAACTCATCAGGAAAGGGCTTTTATTTGAGAAGAGCGAAAATACCCCTGAGAGTGAGAGCTGGAGTCTCCCTAATGAAGGGGCTGAACAATTTGATTTAATCTGTGACAGTTTTATGCAGTGGCTAGAGGTGGGAGAGAGGGTGCGAGCAGAATAATAGCTTCTAGGAACAATAAGAAAAGGGCAAAAGAGAAATGAGTTAATTAACACTGGCTTGGATGATTCTCTTCCCTTCTCCTTTGTCGTTGTGGTGTGACTTCCTGGTGTCCAGGGCACAGGACTGCCACACTATGCACACCATTTTCCCTCCAGTCTTTGCAATAATGTTGCTTGCTATAGGTGACCTTGGGCCTCAGTTTCCTCTCCTAAAAAATGAGATGAGTGAAAAAGGTGGTCTCCTGAGAGGAAGCCTTTTAACTCCACTTCATTCTAGCAATCAAGACTTCCTGGCTTTTTGAAAATTATTAATAGGAGGAAAGAACCATCATAATTTTTATGAAGTCCCATTGGACAGAATGCAAATCCTGTCTTTTTATTCACCAGGACTGAGAGAGAGAAGCTAGCTAATATGCACCAGACCTGTCTTCAGCCCTGAGTCTCCCTGCACCCCTGCGGCAGAAACTGTCCTGCCAATGGTCCTGGAGCTAGACACCCTGTGTCTCTTGCCTTCATATCTCAGGACCTTTGCCTGGGACCATGACTGTCCTGAGTGAGGACACTGGCCAGTGCAGGGCTGGTCACATTTGAGAGGACGCAAGGTGAGGACAGACTCCCACCCACAGAGAGCTGCCACAGGAACCTGAGGCATGCTGGCCAGCAGCCCCTCCCTCACAGGGTTTCTCTGGCCAGATCCTGGCTCCTTTTGCTGTGTGCTCTGCATCATCTTTTAAGGGCAAGGCCCAGCCTAACTGAGCTTCCCATTGCAGGACCATCTCAGGGTGGACACGTGTCCTTTGTTCCTTGCGCACCTTGACACCGTCTAGCTGGTAGAAAGAAAGGGAAGCTATGCCCTATGCAGTGTGCCAACAGAGAGAGCTCAAGGAAGTCAGCTGGAGAAGGCAGACGGACATTGCAAGTAAACAGGGAACTGAACGCATGTGGAAACCCATCAGGCCAGCTGCCCTTTGGCCGTAGATGTTCCTCCCACATAGTGCGGTATGGAGCCACAATACCATGAGGACAGGGTCGTCAGTGTCCACATATCACAGGAGCAGTGATACCCAGAACAGCCACCAGGCCAGCCAGGGCCCAAGTCCTATACAGCCAGCGCATCCTGGGGGCTACCACTGCTCCCCTTAGGGTCAGCATGCTAATGTGGACGAGCTTGCAAGGCCCATAAGAGGTAAAGCAGGGCCTCAGAGCAGGCCTTCCCCACCCCAGTCCCTGCACTCTGACCCCTGAGCCACGCTGCCCATCTTCCTGCCTCTGTGTTCTTTCTAAGACAACAGAAAGGTGGTTTCTAAAAGCCATCAGAGCCAACTTCAGAAGCCATCAATTTTGGGGAGACAAGGGGCCTAGAGCCCCAGGGCCTCTTCACTATCACATGGAAAAGAGTGGGAGCCCGAGTCTGGGGATCAGCTGGGGAACCATAGGGACAGGAGCAGCCTCAGTGAGGGGCAGAAGGAGCAGGGGCAGTGTGACATGTGTGAGACATTTCCAGACCTTCCTAGGACTGTTTTAGAGAACTTTTAATTCTCTAGGGCTGAACAACAACATCAACAAAAATACTAAGTTATAGTACATTAATTCCAAATGTCCAATTTTCTCCACATGTACGAGTTACTCTTATGTCACAAGGTCTAGAAGAAGGAGGGAACTCTAAATCAGAACCTTCAAGACAGGCAACCTTATTCAGAGCTTAGTGGGTGAGGTGGCACCAACTTAAGTAAGCC